ATGTTGGACTTGTGGGCTTGGGCAGCACTGGGTTGGGATGTTTTCTTGATGTGCACTTACCCTTTACATAAAACTCTCTCTTATACATATGAGTTTCTGTGGATTTGTTTCTCTAATTACCCAGAATAATACAGCTCAAAAATAGCAGAGCTGGCCTTTGACCCCTGATTATCCGGCTCCCCTGCCATGCACTTGGTCACCCCCACCAGGAAGGGCTGGACCTGCAGCAGCAGCAGCAGCAGCAGCAGGCAGGCCGGAAATCTGGACAAAGAGGAGGTAACAGGAGGCCACAAACAGGCTCTGTTGGAGAGTCTGGGAAACATCAGGCAGGGTGTCTGACAAAGCACAAGAGCTCATGCCATGTGACCTGGATCCTACAGGGAAAGGGGACACCAGGGAGGTGGGAAGCACAGGAACCCCCGTGGTAAACCCCAAGCAGCTACCTTGACTTAGCGTCAGGGTCCAACCTGGACCCACTGGTTTTCTGGACTCTTTTAAATTGGAAGTTTTACCCACCACCCACTCCACTTGTGAGTAACTGTATTTTTACATATTTACTCCTGGAGAAATCCACAATGCGAGGCCACCGTGAATTCAGAAGTGCTTCTCCGTGACTTTGAAGGTAGTGGGTGGGGTCGGTCACAATGGAGTCCACAGGTGTGTGGACAGCATTGTACAGGTGGGAGCCAAATGCTTCCCAGCTGTAAAGCATGGTGCCTCTACAGACAATGCTGAGTAAAGGGGACAGGTGGGAGCTAGGAAAAGGCATGGGTGCCTTGAGGATATAAGGAAGAAGGAGGTGGTCGATGCATCAGCTCCTCAATCCCCCAGGACCCAGTTTGTGCCCCTGGGGTGGTTCAGGATCACCCCAACAGTGCTAATTAATACATGTTAGGACCTGTCCCTGCCAGCATATGCCCTGAAGGAAGGCTTTGATTGAGTGGTCAGGTGCCAGGCATTAGGTATCACCTTGTGGTCATCGCCTAATCTGGTGTCCATTTGAGGATTAAGAGTGTAGGGGTGGAGTCTAGGCTGTCAATCTGGAGCTAGCCAATGAGACTTCTGTGTGGGCATGGCCTTCTCCTGAGAATTCTGGGAAATCTGGTACTTCCTCCTTGGAGGCAGAAGACACTTCTCACTCTCTGCTACACCCTGAGAGACTTAGCAGCTGACAAGACACATGGACCCACCCTGACGCAGCCCTGGGTGCTGGAGAAGCCATGCAGAGATCCCTGCCAGCGCTGAGATGTTTCCAATGCCACTGGATCCAAAGACGTTCTACCCACTGGCCTGTGATCTTCTACATTCGGCATCATTGCATGTGTTTCGTGAGTCTGAAGAGGACTTTATAGATTGCTGTTGGACATATGGGCTAATATCGAACTTATGACCTTGGACTGGACTGGGTTGGGATGTTTTTCTTAATGTACAATTGCCCTTTATATAAAACTCTCTCTTATATATATATGTGTGTGTGTGTGTGTGTGTCCATGGATTTGTTTCTCTAGTCTACCCAGACTAACACACACCTCCATTGGGTGGAGCTTAGAAGAGTCCTCCCCTGTAGCTGAATAAACCTTCTGCCTACCCATTCGAAAGATGCCTTCAGACTGAGGGCCAGTCTACAGGCAGTCAGCTACAACCAATGTAGCCACTGCAGTGGACCAGAAAGGAATAGTGGGGGTTTCTCAAAAGGTGGTTGGAAATTTGGCTAAAATGGAAAGGACCGGGGCTATTAAACGTTAGTGGGATTATGGGGCGGCTGAAACTCTCATAGATGGCTGGTGTGGGTGTAACAGACTTTTCCACTTTGGAAAACTTAAGTTGGCCAAACCTAACATACTCACAACCTAGCACATGTACTCTCTGGAGGATGCTTAGCATAACCGAGTGCATACGCCCACCAAGACACACACACCAGGGTGCGCAGCAGCAAAGACCATCCGCTAGAAGTCGAGTCTTACAAAATGGCTTTTTATTTTAATAGATAAAAAAGCAATGTCGAGCTTAATCATTACGTCTAACCCTAGGCCGAGGTCTTTGCACATTTCATTTATCTTCCTGAGTTGCCCTCTGAGCTTTTCTGTTCAGCTCTTTTACTTCATCGTTTCTCCTCTTTGCTTCCGCCGTCTCATTTCTTCCTTTTTCCTCCAAAAGGAAGACACTCTCAACCTATCTCAAGTTGAAAGAAGTGAAGCAAATCCTCAACTCTCAAGTGGCAATATTGAAGGATTCTATGGGCAAACCACTGAACCATGGAGGAAGCATCAAAAGAAGAAGGAAGGAATACTCAGAGTCACTGAACCATGGAGATCTGGTCAACATTCAACTATTTCAAGAGGTTACAGAAGATCAAGAACCAATGGTACTGTGTTAGGCCACTTGACTAGAGAAACAAATCCAGAGACACTCACATGTGCGTAAGAGAGAGCTTTATGTCAAAGAGCAATTGTATATTGAGAAAACATCCAGGCCAGTCCAGATCAAGTCCCTAAGTCCAAAATTAGCCTGTAAGTCCACTATTAGTTCATAAATCTCTCTTCAGACTCACACAGCCACATGCAATGATGCAGAATCCAGGAAGATCAGAGGCTGGTGGATGGAAAGTCCTGTGGATCCAGTGGTGGTGGAAGCATCTCAGCACTGGTGTGGATCTCCATGTGGCTCCTCCAGCTCTCTGAGTGTCTCAACAGGGAGGAGACGCAGAGAGAAGGGCTCCTCTGTGTGGCTTGTCAACAGGAAGACCAAGGCAGAGAGAGAAGGGACGTTCCCAGAATCCTCACGAGAAGGCCATGTCCCCAAGGAAGCATCATCAGGCTGTGACCTGATTGACAGGTCTAAGCTCCACCCCTTCATCCTTAAAATCCTCAGGTTGACATGAGATGATGAAACTACCGCAGGGACCAAAGGAAGAAGTCCAAGCTGCACTGCAGGCATTACTAAAAACCAGGCTCTAGGCATTGACAAAAAGCCCACTAAAGATTTCAAGAGGCTGATGAAGCACTGGAAGCATCCATACCTGTCCCCACTCCAAAAAAAGGTGGACCAACAGAACGCGGACATTACTGAAGAACATCTTAAATATCACATGCAAGTAAGATGTTGCTGACGATCATCCAACCATGGCTGCAACAACGCACTGATGGGGGCTGGCCGCTAGAAAGTCAAGCTGGATTCAGAAGAGGACCTAGAACCAGGGCTATCCTTGCCGCTGTCAAATAGGTCTTGGCTGAAAGGCAGAGAATACCAGAAAGAGGTTTGTTGTGTGTGTGTTTTCTTGACTGCACAGAGGCATTCAACTGCGTGGATCATAGCAAACTGTGTTAGTCTGGGTACTTTATAGAAAGAAATCCACAGAAACTCATATATAAGAGAGAGTTTCACATAAAGGTTAAGTGCACATAAAACACACACACACACACACAAACCATCCCAACCCAGTGCTGCCCAAGCCCACAAGTCTAACAATAACCCATATGTCCGACACCATTCCACAAAGTCTTCCTCCATCTCACAAAACACACGCTATGATGCCGACTGCAGGAGGAAAGCCGAATCAGTGAACGTGTAAGCATCTCAGCGCTGGCAGGGGTCTCCACACGGCTGCTCCAGCACCCAGGGCTGCATTGGGGTAGGTCCATGTGGCTTCTCCTTGGGGATGTCTTGCAGGAAGTGAGCCTTGCTAGCTGAAGCAGGGAACTGGTTAAGGCAGCTGCACCCTGGTCCGACCATCACAAATCAAGAGACCCAAGAACTAGAAAGGCAAGGTTCACCGAGCCATTTATCTCTCCACCCTTCAATGAACCCCACATGTGTTTATTGGCCAGGTTGGCACAGTAAACTTTAATTAACCCACAAACTGTGGATCGCCTTAAGAAGAATAGGAAGACCAGACCACTCCACTGTGCTCCTGTGGAACCTGTCCATGGGCCAGGAAGCAATTGCTCCAACAGAACAAGGAACCACTGGGTGGTTTAAAACCGGGAAAGGTGTGTGTCAGGTGCACCGGACCGTGGGGTTTTCAGTCACCATGACAGTTGGACGATGCAGAAGGAAGGCCACAGGAGCAGTGATGCGCTTGAGTTACAGTGTTGGCAAAGAAGGTAGAAAGTGTCCTGGGAAGAACAAACACATTTGGACTAAGCACCTCCTTGGGGCATGCTACCAGGAAGGACCAGTCCCTGACGCTTGGACAAGCACAGGGCAGTGCAGACGAGGAAGGCCCTCAACAAGGCAGATGGACACTGGCTGCCATCGCGGCGTCCAACCTAAGAACACGTGTGCGGGTGTCAGGCGCGCGGCCAGGCCATGTTGTGTTCTCTTGTGCCCAGGGTCACCGTGAGCTGGAACCGACGCCAGGGCCCCTAACAACAAGGACAGCAGCACGTTCACATTTGGTTTAGAGGCTCGCCCAGCCCCAGGGCAAGGACGCCGGGAAAGCACCTGGACTGAGCCCCTGTTACCTGCCAGCCACCACACCTTGCTTCCTGACAAAGGCAACATTAATGGGCCCCTTCCCTTGATGAAGGAGGCCCGATGGCATCATGTCCAGGCTTTCTGTGCCCATAAAGACTCACCGTCTCGGGAACTCACTTCTACTCTGTCCTCTAGGGTCGCTAGAAGCCGGCATGCACTTGGTTTCTGGTTTGGGTTTGGTTACCAGGAGAGGCACCAGGGACTATTGGTGCTCACACAGCATTGACAGTCCCCATTTGTAGGCTAGTGTTCCCTGGTGGTGTAGTGGTTCCGAGTTGGGCTCCGAGACCCAAGGTCCACAGTTTGAAACCACCAGCCACTCCTTGGGAGACAGACAAGCCTTTCCCCTCTCGTAGTCAAGAGTGTCAGTCTCAGCAACCTACAGGGGCAGTTCTACCGGTTTGCTGTGAGTGGGCCTCTGCTCCAGCAGTGGTTCGGTTGGGCTTCGGTTTGGTTCCTTGATTAGGAAACAGACTACCAGAGGGGGCCTATAACCAGAAGAGGGGCTTGGGATGCAATGCAGGGGGGTGGGGTGCCCCTTGGGCTTTGCTGAAGTGGAAGCAGCAGGTGCTTTGGGCTTGGTGGTAGGGGAGTCTTTTCCCAGAGATAAGGAGCAGCAGGGGAGGGAGTAAGGGCAAAGTCCAGGGCAGCCCTCTGGGAGGGCTATCAAAATACAAGTCCCTGCTCCCTCCACACCTGCAGGGATTTCTCACCCACACACCCACACACCTGTTGGTCAGAGGAGACTCTGTTGGCAGAGTTTCCTTGTCTCCTTGCCCAAGGCT